AGAGAGAGAGAATTATTGATGTGAGAGAGACATATCTATTTGTTGCCTCCCGCATGCACTCTAACCGGGCCTGGTTTGAGCCTGCAACCATATGTGCCCTTGACCAGAATTAAACCCTTGATTCTTCTGTCCATGGGCCCAACACTCTAACCACTGAGCCAAGCCAGCTAGGACAAATACCACCTTATTTTAATTTTTATACTTTCATAACTCATAACATGAATATTGGGCTGCAATTTCCTTGTGTTCTCCATAGATCTAGCTCAGAAACTTCTAAAAATTTACATTAACAGCACTGGTGTGTGTGTGTGTGTGTGTGTGTGTGTGCACTCATGCATATATGTGTGTTCTGGGGGGATATATATATATATATATACACACACACACACATATTAAATATGTATACATCCATGTATATACAATTTTCTGTCATTCCATAGTATTTTGGAAAGAGGAGATGTATATATATGTTTAATCAGCCATCTTTACCCAATTTATTTGACTCGGGTTGGGTGGATATGTCCATTAGTTTTGCATTATAACCAATTCCACTTACAATAATGAAAGCAGGATCCTTTCTGTGCACATGCCAATGTGAAGGTATATAGGCGACCTTGATTGTTATTGAAGTATATCCTTTTTAAGTGGAACTGCTTCAGGGGCAAATGAGTGTTTCTTACTTGGCCTTTTCCCCCCTTCTGAAAAAAATATTTATTTTTATTCATTTGCGAGAAAGTGTGAGAGAGAAACATCAATAAGTAGCTTTCTGTATATGCCCCAATTGGGAATCCAACCCACAACCTGGGCATGTGCCCTGGTCAGGAACGAACCAGCATCCCTTCGGTACATGGAACAACGCTCACCCAACTGAGCTATACCAGCCCGGCCTTACTTGGCTTTCTGATAATGTCAATGCAGTGATAGTATTACACATCTGCAATCTACTTTGGTGCCTATTATGCACTTAAATATGTTTTTCCATAAATTCCCCAATAATTTCTTCTCAGAAAGAGTCATTTAGCAAAAGGATACTAATTTGGCTTTTACCCCATGGATTTTATTTTTGACCTTTTCCTTACTTCCTTATTTTGTAGATGAAGAATGTCACAAATATTTTATTATTCTTTTTTTAAAAAACTAGTCACTGCGTATGGTCTTTAAAAAATCAAATGATGAAAAATGTAAAGAAACAAAAAGTCTAAACTTGGTTGGCGGCTGAAAACTTTTGTCTTATGCTTTTAGATGTGTTCACAACCCAAACTCCAACTGGCTCCCAGTCTGAAATATCTGTGAAAGCAACAACTGCTGTGGATTTTTCTCTAAGAAACTGTAAGTATTGAAAGGCACCAGTGCAAATATGAACATCCCTTAAAACAATATTCCAAAACAGCATTAGAGTGTTGGGCAGGAAAAAGATCTTATTGGCGCTAATGTCAGAAGTCTTCATTCCTAAGTAAGGACACTCGTGTCTATTGCACTGAGAAATTCTGAAGGCAGAGAGGTTCTTACATATTTTTTAGACTATTTTGGGTTTGCATGGAAATAAAAACTAAATAACTAAATTTAGGACTAGAAACTTGTATGTCTTTTTTCAACCCACATTTTTACTCCTTTCTGCTTTATACCTTCAGCTTCAAACATTGTTTCCTTTTGCACCTTTCCACCAAGCATAACTATTTGATAGATGACTTGGGAGGCCATTAAATCTCCAAATGCATTTAACACATCTATTACCTCAGCATGTGACAGCTCAGATCTACGAAACACATAAGCCACAAAACAGAATAACAAGGAAAAGGGGATGGAAGTCACTAGGGAAGAGAGGACGTTTCTGGCAATGGCATTTCAATATTGGTGAATGACAGACTCCGTAAGCCTACTTATTAAATAAAGCCACATGACAATAATGGGATATTTCTGAGCAGTTTCAAACCTTGGGACATAACTGAGAGGGGGACATTTCAAGGGCATTCACTAATGAGACAGCTGACTTGTGGGAATTTTGCTCCTACAAGTAAACAAGCTCTTGAGTTGTTTGGGACAAGACACAGAATAGGGAGGCTGTTGAAGAAAACAGACCACGTACCTCAGATTCCCTTAGGAGATGGCTTATTGAGGGCCAGGGAAGAGAGTCCAAAACCCTAACTTATATTCCCACAATTCAGGTCCCCAAAGGATTGTCAGAGAAAGTTGGATAGGGATCAGTTGTTCCACTTGAGCGGGGTTCTGACAGGGAGACAGGCTGACATGGATGGGATGCTTCAGAGGAGCAAGCCCCGCCCCCAAGATTAAATCTCCAGAAGTATTTTGAATAATTCTGCTAGTCCAAAAATTCCGAGGGCAAGTAGCTGAAGCAGTCCAGACACTTTTTTCCAGAACCGAGGAAGAGGGTTGCAGGACAGAGTTTAAGGATTTCTGGCCACTTGTTCTAGTCCTGCCTGAATCAGTGTCAACTCCAGTAACAATCTCTTTTTCCGTCCTTTCTTGCCACCAAGATTCCTGTAACGGTGCTGTTTGCAGGCTTCGTCCGGATTCATTCTGTCTCTGTAGAACTCCTCCCGTGGGGGGACTGCCTGCACCGCTTATGGAACGTGATTGACTCCTGTATTAAGCAGTTAACTGAAATTTCAGGCCAACTTCATGGGGGAAAGTATGGTCCTCCAGTCACAACGATCCCCAAATACACTCTTACTGACATAGGTCCAGATGGACACATGATCGCCTGAGATATGCACTAAATCAGGCCTGAAAACCCTTGGTTTGTAGCCCCACATCTTTATATCCAAAGACCTGTCTTGAGTAGTAAACATGCTTATGTTTCCAATTTACAAGGAAACTGATGCTGCCTCCCTTTACCAGACTGTCCTGGGCTGACGGTATCACTGCAAGGTGTGGGCCGGAACCATCTGGGACAGTGTGTCTGATCCAGTAGACCTTCCTCACCTCTGATTGTGGGCCAGGACCCCAGCTTTCCCCTCTCTTGCAAAACTATAGGCGTATGAATCCCACCTCAGGCAACAACTTTACCTTTTCTTTCCCCTGCTTTGAGTTACCTCAAAAAATTGTCAACATCTTTCTGGGATTTTTTTTCCCCTCTCCCCTTTTCTTTGTTCCACTTTTTAGCTAAAAAATATGCCTAATCACAGATTTGGAGTCAATATTTTAATATGCTGATAACCCACTTATTCCTTTTCCTAGATAAACTCAATGAAACATCTGGAACACCCAGTGAAGAACCCTCGTTACAAAGAATTCCAAGTACTAAAGTTACTACACTGTAGTCATACCTGGAGCATGTCATTATATGAGTAAAAATTTAAGTTTCACTACTCTGAGTATTTCATAAAATAATAGCATGCTTAAAGAACTTGTACTCTGCAGTTCAAAGTCATTCTAAAATCTTTTTAAAATAATTTTTTTATTGATTTTAGAGAGGAAGAAAGAGAAATATCTATACTAATAAAAGGGTAATATGCTAATTAGAGTGGACGTCTTCCAGATGACCTTCTGGACATCCTTCCGGACAAAGGCGCAGCAGCTGCGAAGGGCCGAGGCTCAGGCCGGCAGTGGCAGCAGCAGTAGGGAAATGGGGATGGCGCCTTCCCCTGATCTGCCAGGTCGCCTCCCGCAGAGGGAGGCTAGACTGAGGCTTAGGCCAGGGGCCGAGTCAGAGGCGGTTAGGGGCCATCAGGCTAGCAGGGGGTCAAGTTAGGAGGGCAGAGGTAGTTAGGGGCAATCAGGCAGGCAGGCAGGTGAGTGGTTAGGAGCCAGAGGTCCCAGATTGTGAGAAGGATATCTGACTGTCGGTTTAGGCCTGATCCTACAGGGGTCCCAGACTGGAGAGGGTGCAGGCCGGGCTGAGGGATGCCCCCCCAACCCCATGCACAAATTTTGTGCACCAGGCCTCTAGTCAATAGATAAACATTGATCAGTTGCCTCCCACACGCACCCAATCTGGGACCAAACCCACAATCTGTGCATGTGCCCTACCCAGGAATCAGGACGAATTCAAGCAGCTGAGCCACACCATCTAGGGTGCTAAAATATTTTAAACCATGAAAATCTAAGGGTCAATTTTTAGATGTATTTGACATGGGGTAGAAAATGAGGCTGTCCCAGCCTCTTTTTATAATACAATTTTATTTCCTTAGATTATATCAAATTTATATTTATGCATATATTTATGTTAAATGTATTTATATTTAACATAAATACATAATTATATATTTCACATAAAGATATAAATATATATAAATATTTAATACATTTTAATATAATTTTTTAAAATTCTCACCTGAGGATATTTTTCCATTAATTTTTGGAGAGAGTGAAAGAGAGAGGGAAAGACAGAGAGAAATATCAATGTGAGAGAAACACACCAATTGGTTGCCTCCTGCACAGCCCTGACCAGGGCCTGGGCCAGGGAGGAGCCTGCAACCAAGGTACATGCTCTTGACTGGATTCAAACCCAGGAGTCTTCTGTCCACAAGCCAATGCTCTATCCACTAAGCCAAACTGGCTAGTGCTTAATATAACTTTTAATAATTACATAAAAATTTCTACCTGCTCGAGAAATAAACTTTTCTCTGCATAGAGGCAATGATTAGTGTTTCCTAAGATTATTTGGGGAGGTAGGGTTGTGAGTAAGAGGCTGCAAAATAAAAAATAATCATTTTACTTTCCTGCCAAAAATATTATCCCTTATAAAATATTTGTGAAACCATAACAACCCAGGAAGTCTTGAGTGAGTGGTCTAATTGAGGACAACGGACCTGTTGTTACATGAAACTATTTTCTCCAGTTCATGCAATATAAGTATGTTACTAATATTATTACCCTAAATTCATTTGCATCTTTAACACCACTAAACATAAAAACCTTTAATCAGCTTTTGATATGTTTAAAAATAGAAATCTGATCATTCTGGTATTTTACTTCTTCAATATCTTTAGTCATTTGCACTAAAGTTTTAGTTTACTAAAAGTAAATGAAGAAGAAAATACTAAAGAACCATGTAGAAAGAATATTCAAAATTTTAAAGTTACAGCACTGTAGGCATACCTAGAGCATATCATTATATGAGTAAAAATTTAAGTTTCACTACTTAAATTTGGGGTCACATTCTAACCTCTAACTGGGCAGTCAAGTCTGACGTGACCTGAACATTAAAGAACGTTTCAGTCTCTTCCCTGGTCACACTCCCCATCCACGCTCTTCATTCCAGACTTCCTGAAGCTCCGAGAGCTTGCCCAACCTGTTATGGTTCTGGGTCTGCTCACAGTGGAATGACCTCCCTCTGAACTTGTTTGCCTGGCAATGTCTAGCCCTCTGCACTGTATTAAAGTACCATCTCCCCTTTGAAGGGTTTCCAGCTTTTGCAACTTGATTTTGGTCCCTCCATGAATACCTCTGTGCGTTTCCTTTAACACCCTCCTTATCCTACAACATAATAAGCAGTGATTCCTGTCTGCTTTCAAAATCGAGTGTGTTTCTTGACCATTAAGACTGGTGTTCATTTCTGTCACTTCAGTGCCAACTTCAGGTCTGGTACATGGTAGGAGCTCAAGGTGGAACTATTAAATGACTAAACTAACAAGTGAATGAATGAATGTTCTGACACAAATTTACTAAAGCCAAATTACCTTATGTTGTCAAACTGTTCTATTTTGTTTTTTAAACAGAAACAACCGAGGTTCCAAATGAGCCTGCATTTTGGACAATGTTAGCTAAAGGTAAACTCATAGTAGTTAGGTAACTGGGAAAACGATTTCTTTTCTGTCCCCAAATCTTATGTAAGAAAGCCAAGATCAATGTAAATAGTTCCAATACTAAGAATAAATGTCAACATTTTGCTGCCATCATCACATGTAAATGCAAAACACATCCAGAAGATTGATCAAGTGTTCGCTTTTTCTGATTCTCCTCCCAAAAGTTTCATGCTCCTACAAATGTTGCAATCAATTTTTTTAAGATTAAAAATTTTAAATAAGGCTCTTGCCCAATATAGCCCCTCTTTGTGTTAGGAGCAGCATGCACCTAAGCACGTGGAGATGTATGAATAAATGCAAAGTACTTATCAAAATATATGCATGCATAAAATGAATGTATACATCATAGTTAAGCATGCATTATTAACATAATGCACATATCATATATGTATTACATGTTTACTGTAGATGCACACATATATAAATGTAATATCACACACATATATGCATGCAATAGAAATGTAAGACATATGCCATATTCAGTCAATCTTCAATATTTGCATATTCTGTATTTGAGAATTTACCAACACCTAAGATTTGTAACCCCCAAAGCAATACTAGAACATTTTGCAGTCATGTGCAGACATGCTCAGAGCAGCAAAACATTTTAATTGCCCGTTGCTCACATGCCTAGCTGAGGTGGAAAAAGGCTGCATTCCGCCTTCTTTTTTCAGCTCTCATACTGTAAATACGTGTCATTTTTGTGGTCTACTTCATGCAACATGTATTTCGTGTTTTCTGTGGGTGATTATGCTATTTAAAATGGCCCTCATGTATAGCATTCAAATGCTGGTTAGTGTCCCTAAGCACAAGACGGCTGTGATGTATACCTTATGGAGAAAACGTGTGTTAGATAAGCTTTGTTTAGCGGGAGTTATAGTGCGGGAGTTGGCTGTGAATTCAGTGTAATGAATCGGCCATATGTACTAAAATAAAGTGTCTTTAAACATAAACACACACAAAACAGGGCTTTGCATTGATTGGTGGGTGGAAATGTTGTGACCTCGCAGGATCCTAACCCTGTATTTCCTCTATATTATAAAAATAACCAGCATGAATAAATGAGAATAACCTTAGATATTACACATGCACACAAAGTTCGTAAGTGAATTTTGTTTCCCATAACACCAATTTATTGTTTTAACAGTTTTAAATGAAACGGTGCCGGAGGAAGAAGCAAGAGATCAATTATTCCAAGCAATTCCAAGTAAGAACAAAATACTTCAATGAAATGAATGCATGCGTGCCGGCACACATTGTAGGGCCTGCGTGGCGGGACTGTTTTCTGGTGAGGTGCATGTCAGAGGGCAGTATGGAGGCTAACATGGTAGCAGGGCACCTACTCCTGTTTTAGGAAAGTTGCGGATTTCACGCACGCTCTCCAGTTGCAGTACTGCATATACCTATTTATTTCTGCCTTCCTGCTTTGTAACTTCTATTCCTGACTCAGATAAACCAAATGGAGTAGGCAAGTGAAAAAAGTATAGAATGCAGTTTGCTTTTTTAATGAACAGACTTTGTTTTTAGAGTGATTTTAGGTTTACAGGAAAAGTGAACAGAAATTATAGAGAGTTCTCATATATTCCCCTGCTCAGTTTTCCCGCTTATTAACACTTTGTATTAATGTGGCACCGTTTTTATCATTTATGAGCCAATGTGGATGCATTATTAACTACAGTAAAACCCATAGTTACACCCGGGTCCACTCTTTGTGTTCTAAATCTATGGGTTTTAACAAATGCAGATGTCACATGTCCACCATTACAGTACCATAAAGAATATTTTCCTTGCCCTAACTGGTTTGGCTCAGTGGATAGAGTGTCGGCCTGTGGACCGAAAGGTCCCAGGTTCGATTCCAGTCAAGGGCATGTACCTTGGTTGTGGGCACATTCCCAGTAGGAGGTGTGCAGGAGGCAGCTGATCAATGTTTCTAACTCTCTATCCCTTTCCCTTTCTCTCTGTAAAAAAATCAATAAAATATATATTTTTAAAAAAGAATAGTTTCCTTGCCCTAAAAATCACCTGTGCTCCATCTGTCCACCTCTCCCTCGCCCAGCTGCTGACAACCACTGACATTTTCATTGTCTATTCTTTTGCCTTTTCCAGAATGTCATAAGTTTGGAGACATACAGTACGTAGCCTTTTTAGACTTGCTTCTTTCGCTTAGTAATCCTATATAATAAAAGGCTAATATGCAAATCGAACTGCAGAAAGAACCATTGCTATGACATGCCCTGATCACCAGGGGGCAGATACTCAATGCAGGAGCTGCCTCCTGGTGGTCAGTGCACTCCCACAGGGGGAGCTCTCCTCAGTCAGAAGCCAGGCTCATGGCTGGCAAGTGCAGCAGCAGCACTGAGGATGTCCGACTGATGGCTTAGGCTCGCTCCCCAGGAGTCAGTCATCAGTCAGACATCCCCTGAGGGCTCCCAGACTGTGAGAGGGCATGCAGGCTGGGCTAAGGAACCCCCCTTCCCCCCGAGTGCATGAATTTTGTGTACTGGGCCTCTAGTATGCACATAAGATTCCTCCATAGGTTTCCATGGCTTGGTAGTTCATGTCTTTCCATCACTGAATAATATTCCTTCGTATGGATGTCCCAGTTTGCTTATCCAGTCACCTACTGAAGGACATCTTGATTGCTCCTAAGTTTTGGCAACAATGAATACATCTACTATAAACATTCAGGTGTAGGTTTTTGTGTGCACATACATTTTCAACTCATTTGAGTGCCCAGCTATTGTGCTTGATGGTTGTATGGTAAGACTATGCTTAGCATTGTAAGAAACTACCAAACTGTCTTCCAAAGTGGCTACACCATTTTGCATCCTCACCAGCAAGGAATGAGAGAATTCCTGTTTCTAAATGCAGTAACTTTCATTAATGGATTAATTATATTTACATGAGCACAGTAACGCCTGATTTGAATGAAAATATTCATGACAAGGCAATATATTAATGCCCCTCAAACACCTGTCTTGCAAATAAAGCATTGAAAAGAAATTGCATCTGGTCCTCTATCTTAGGCCTGTCACACCAGTTCTGCCCTGGATTATGTGACGGGTACAGCCTCTTGCTTTCAGAGCTTCAAGAAAATGGAGGGAGGCATCTTTGGTCAGAAGAGCTAGATGGAGGAATGACAAATGCTGGGCCACTTGAGAAATATTGTCTTTTCCAGTAATTAAGTTAATTGAGCATGATTGATTTTTTTTATCACATACTGAGTACATACTACATGCCAGTGCTTCACAGACATTATTATGTCAGTCCTCACAGCAACTCTGTGACGTTGGTATTAGCTCCATTTTACAGATGAGAAAACTGAGGCTTGGAGGAAAACTCTGTCCAAACTTGCAATGGGAGTTTGCCTAATTTCCAGTGGTCAGGAACTCCAAACCCTTCTCTAGTTTGGCCCATCACCTTGACAAACAAGATGTACTATAAACACAGCTCTTCACAAAAGCCCTTTTAAGGAGTAGCAAAGCAATTCAGGAGCATGGTCCATTTTAACATTTGTTTGATTATTCCCAAAGTACTCTGCCTCAAAGTCAAAATCTCAGTCTTTGACAATTGTACACTGTTCACTCCACTCTGACAATTGTAATTTTTTTAAATCAGAGAATATAGACATGGAGCTTGTCATTGCTTATTACCAAAACATCATTATCTGGAAAATAATGAAAGCCTTTGAAACTTTTGGGAGGGTGTTGGGGTAAAGGGGAGAAATACCAACATGGTCATGTAAAGTCATCATTATATAAATTAAGCATGCAAATATTAAGTCAGACATATTTAAAAAATAAAAATTTGACAGCAAAGATATATTTTCATTAATAGATTTAGTAAAATGACCTGACATATCTGCATCTGGACATATCTTTATTATAGAACTTAGTTTGGAAAGTGAAGTAAGTTTCCACTTCTCAGTAATAAAGTGGCAAGTTCAGTTCTTAAGCCTCATGGAGAAAGCATCTGGTACACCCTCCTTGTAGCTGAAAAGAAAAATCAATGCATGTCCCAATAGGAGAACTGCATCTTTTTCCTTTGAGGGATGTGTGTAAATCCATATTGTTAGTAGTAATCGCTGTAGAGTCATGAACTGGTTTTTACTAGTCGGAGGGGAAGTCCGCTGCATACACATTTTAATACCAGTAACCTGGGTTTGAAACCAGATTTTGCCATTTACCAGCTCTGTGCCACGGCAAATTCATATACTCTGGGGTCCTGTGAAATGGAGCTATAGACAGCTTCTCAAGACCGTTGGGAAGGCGACACGGGAAAAGTTAGGAGTACTGGGCCACCACAGCCTCTCCTTGCGTTGCCCGAGGGCAGGGGAGTGGCTGTGGCTGTGACTGCTCCCGAGGGTGGAAGGCCTGCAGGGGCTTTGAAATCCTTCCCCTGCAGAAAACCCTGGGGGACACAAGGATCCTTTTCATTGCATTTTCTCTCTTCTCAGGCTCTGATTTGAACGGGACAAGTGAAGACCAAGGGGTAGGAGCACAGGATAAGTTAAAACTAATGCTGGGCATCTCCCTGCTGACCCTCCTCCTCTTCACCATCCTCCTGGCATCATCTAGCGCCTTGCTGTACAAACTGAAGACCACGTAAGTCCACAGACCTCCGGAGGGTCTGGTCTGTGACACGCACATGCGAAGCTCCCAGCTGCCTCTCTAGCAGACGGTCCGGAAATGTGACTTCCAAATGTATGCGCACGCTACTCCGTTGGCCACATTTCCCTGACTCAGAAAGAAGCCTGGCTGTCTCTGAGGGAATGCCCTCTTTAAACCTGTCCCCGATATTTTAAAATCATCCTCTAGAAATAGAGACCACCCTACTCAACTGGGAAGGGTAGTGAGCATGTGGTTGGCATCCTTTGTTGAAAGCCTTGAAACAGAAGGGCCACGACTCTGTTCTAAATAGCACTCCTGCTTAGGGCCCAACAGTGCTCATTCCTTTACATAGCGTGCTCCCAAGTCAGCGATAGATGGGACAGAATCCATACACTCTTTTAACTTTTGTGATACCGTTTTGAGTTGCGCTGCAGACGTACATCACTTACCAAAATTACTGAGGTATGTTTTCTCTTTTCAGTTATAACAAGCAGCTTGAGCGTCAGTACTCCGTCCACCCCGAGCTGGCGTCGCTGTCCTACTTCCAGCCTGCCCAGGGCGTCTCAGACTCATCCTTCTCTAGGAGCCCGGAGAGCAGCACCCTTTTGGACCCAGGAATGGGCATGACAACCTCGAATGAATACATGCGTTAGACCTCAGAGTGGCGATGTTCCCACTGATAAATAGAGAACTGTAGTTTTGTGTCATAAAAAAATATCTTTCTTTGTGAATCACACGGATGTCATGATTTAGGAACGCTGCTGAGACGTTTACATTTTTCTGGCGTCTTAAAAGGAGGACGTGTTCAATAAAATTCTCTCGGCTATAAAAATTAATGGAAAAAATAAAAGGAAATCATTTAAGGTATGGAAAACTTATCAAGTAAAAATAATCCTAGAAAGTGACTTAGGAAACGTATTCACTCTAGGCTGTTTCATTTTTAATCCTCACCCAAGGTATGTTGTTTGTTTGCTTGCTTGCATGCTTGTTTTGTTTTAACTGATTTTTAGTGAGAGAGGAAGGGGGGGGGGGGGAGAGAGAGAGAGAAAGAGAAACATCAATGTGAGAAACATTTAATGGTTGCCTCCCACATATGCCCCAACTAGGGAATTGAACCCGCAACCTAGGGAGGATGCTTCAACTGAGCCACCTGGCCAGGGCAAGGCTGTTTAATATTTAAATGAGGTCTTACATACCTATTTACCTTACCTGCGGGCATTTTGAGGACTTTCAGGGCTATCACCATGACCTATGCCCCTCCCACCACCAAAGCTAAAAGAATACACCTGTATGTTTTACTAGCAAAACAGTTGTGCCATATCAGGAGATGAAACTAAATTAATACAAAAGACTCCTAGCATTCTTGAATTGTTTAAAAGCCACCATGGCTGCGCCCCTGAGACAAACAGTAAGAAAAATAAATTATTTTCCCTCCCATTTCTAAAGTTTCCATAAACATTTGAGACAACATGGTGTACCAGCGAAGAGACAGGTAGGAGACCCAGCACGTAACTTCTTAGAGGGGGATTCATGGACCCGAGTCTTTTAGAGCTGAAGGGTCCTTCCTTCTCTCTTCCCCCAGGGATTCTGCTTCACCATGCTCGATGGCAGGGTTGGGGAATGTCCGGCCGCAGGCTGTTTAAGGCCCGAGAAATCACTGGGTCTGCCCCTGCCAAGGCCTTAGGAGTGAGTTAATTAAATGTTTGACCAAATATAGCGGGCTAATTTTTTAAATTGATCATTTTGTATGGCCCCCAAATGATGTTATAAATATCCACATGGCCCTTGGCAGAAAAATAGTTCCCCACCCCTGCTCTATTAGAAGAAAAGAAAAACATCTCAAAGATTAATTTAGCTTATTAGTGACTTATGCGGCCCTAATAACCCCAGGGGTATTGCAATTTACAAAGAAGACCAATGGAATGGGGACATGTTTTCCCTTTTGTGAGTCAGTTTCGCCTGGAAGGATTTCAGGGGCCTGGATCAGGTAGGTAGGTATGTGTGGATATGTGTGGACTGGAAAGAGGAGGAGAACTTAGGACAGGTTTCATTAATTCTCATCTACTGTATTGGAGGCACTTTGTATTTTACATCACACTGACCTCTACTCCCCTAGGAAAGGCAAGTTTCTTTACACCTCAAGAAACAAAAACCAAGATCAGGTGACAGAGGCGAAGCTAACATGTGCTTCCAAACTGAGCTTCCGTGATCCACAAAGGTTAACAGTCCAATTTTTAACAAAAGTCAAAGGATGTTGTCCAGGAGCAAGGCAGGCCCTGCCTCCAGAAGGCAGGAGGCTCCTTAATTCGTGAGTTCTTTCAGCTGCTGGGGAATTGTTTTCCTTCCCTCCAGCTGAGGACAGACACACACTTCACACCCAGGTGCCGCCAGGCCTACCACCCATTCTCAGCATCATTGCTCACTCCCCACTTTCTCTCCTGACCTCACCGCAGCCTCACTATTGGCTGGGAAAGCTCTGAAGCTCCACCTTTGAATAGCCATGGACCATATAAGATGGTAGCCTTCAGGACAAGAGGTGTTAGGGCGGGTGCTCGCTTTGTCCTGATCTTGCTAATAATGCCCGTAATTCTGAGCCGGTGGTGGTAGCCTTGACCAATAGTCCGTGCTACCCTCTGCGGGTTCCTTTTGTCATTTTCCAAGCCCTTCTGACCCGAGAAACGCAGTGGGGACCGAGTGAGACAAGCGGTTGCAGCTGCTTGCAGGTGCCGAAAGCCTTGTGGAGTCTGTGGGTGAGAAAGGGCTGGTGGGAAGACTGGCAGGGGGGCCGGGGAGGGGTGACTACCAACCATTCCCATTCTTGGGAAGTGCCAGGACCTCGTTGGAAATAGGCGTAATAGTCACGTTTGAATCATATAACTTGTCTCCAGGGCTCAAGTATTGCAGAGTGAGCAAGTTCGTCATTACAGCATTATTCTGGCTAAAGTGGCTAAGAGAAATGAAAACTGTGTTTTTTAAAATTGGCTTGTCATCAGCGGGCATGCTCGCAGGGCCCATTGTGGAGTGTGGTCCAGGTACGGGGGTGGGGAGGGACCTTGCTGGTGACGAAGGTCTGCCCCCCACTTCGCTGGTGTGGAAGCCAGAGGGTCGAGCAGCCCGGGCTGGAGAGAGTGGAGGGGGGTCCTCTCATTGGGTCCCTGCTGACCTCCTATTCTGAGGCTAAGCCTGCATTTCCTGAGCAGGTTCCCGGACGAGGAAGAACATACACCCCTCTGGAACCTGTCCGTGTCTCCCCCATTCTGAACACCCTCCTATTCCTTTCTCTGACGCCCATAACCTGCTCTTGCCCAGCCCTCACACAGGGATGTCCGCGTTTCCCTTCCTGAACTACTTCAGGGCAAGTCCCAGAGCGGCTGTTCCAGGGTCCCTGCGAGTCGCCTTCCGACCTCACACGAGGGGGGTTGGGGGGCGAGTCCCCGGTCCCTCTTTCCTTGACCTTCCCACGGAGAGAGTGTTCTGAGAGGCGCCGAGCAGTGAGGGTGCCATGGGGTTCTGTTTAGGGACATTTTTCGATGACCTTATGGGAAGGGTGGGTCGCCTAGTTCCTGAAAGCCGGGGAGGGGCGTCCCAGGGGTGTTGGGAAGATGGTTGGGTGGGCTCCCTGCCCCAAGGCGTCTCTTTGGGTGGGAGAACGGGGCGCTCCCCCAGGAGCAGCTGAAAGCTCTGCTCAGCTGCCCCGCTCTGCGGGTGCGGGTCTGGGTGCGGGTGCGGGTGGGGGTGCGGGTGCGCGCTCCTCTAAGGACCAGCTGTTGCCAGCTCCTGGGAGCGAGGGTCCTGGAAGGGTGCGCAGCAGAGCTGGTAAGATGCGTGGGTGGCCTCCTGCGGTTTCTCCTCTCCCCGCGCACATCCCGCGTGGGGTTGTCAATAGGGGTTCCCTGTGCTTTGGTGGAAGGGAGGGGCGGACCCAGGCTGGGCAGGGAGTAATTGTAAATCGGAGGGGGCTGTTCCATCGCCGCTAGCCTGAGCGGAGACTCTGGGTGTGCCTTCCAGCGTCACAATTAGCCCCCGAAGCCAGCTGCTGAGAAGCAAAACTTTTAAACTTGTGAAATGGAGGAAAAGCATAACCGCTCTCCCCCAATCACACCCCGGAGCACTGCTTACGCGGTCCTCTCTGAATCATGGCAGCCAAATAGACCCAGCGTTTGCCAGAAAGCAATTCTGGCTGATTATCCGGAATTGACTTCCCTTTCCAGGTTTATTTAAAGAGAAATGAGAGCCAGACGTTTATGTTTGGATCCGGGATCATGGTCCTTGTGCCTGCTCATCCCCTTCTCCCTCCTCCATCAAAATGCCTTACAGCTTGTCACACACTTTCTTCTGGATTTCAATGGAGTTCGTGTCTTAGTAGAAAATGATAAATTAAAAGGCTATCAAGCCAGGAGAAAGCTCATTGTGTAAAGAGGAAGCACGTGTGTGTTATCCAAACATGTAAGTGATCTAAGGTAAATTCAGAGTTTTAGAAAGCATAATTTGGACCACATCTCATATCTGAAATCTCTTGTTTGGGAGAAGGGAAAAGTGTGTAATTACCCCATAATCGATACAGGAAGGCTTATCTTGGAAAGAGGGAAGAGGTGGAAAGGAAGGAGCCCTTTCTACCCCTGGGGTTTAGTTTGTTTTCTTTTTAATGTGTTTTTATCGATCTCAGAGAGGAAGGGTGAGGGAGAGAGAGATAGAAGCATCAATGATAGAGAGAATCCTTGATTGGCTGCCTCCTGCACGCCTCCTACTTGGAATGAAGCCCACAACCGGGCATGTGCCCTGACCAGGAATCGAACCATGACCTCCGATTCAAAAAGTTTGCCCACCCCTGTCTAGACGTTTGAAAGGCTTCAACAGTGATGGTTCATTGACTTTCCTTCTAAGAGCTGATAGTAAAGAGCTCCCTGTGTTTAAAGCTGGGTTCCAAAGAGTTAATGATAGAAAACTACTTGTTTAGGCTATCCTGGAGTCTGCATTTCCTTGTGTGATTTTTTTTTAAATGAGTCTTTATTGTTCAGATTATTACAGTTGTTCCTCTTTTTTCTCCCCATAGCTCCCCTCCACCCGGTTCCAACTACCCCCCCACCCCCATGCCCTTACTCCTTCCCTCCCCACCATTGTCCTCCTCCATAGGTGTTTGATTTTTTTCAGTCTCTTCCCACACTCCCCACACCCCCTTTTCCCCGAGAATTGTCAGTTCACCCCCTTTCTATGCCCCTGTCCTTGTTGATTTTTTAATGTTTGTTGGTAGGTAGGGGTATGTGTTTTGTTTTATTCTGTGTTTGAGGCATTCTATAATATTGGGGACCTTAGAATGTTGGGACCACTAAATTAAAGACTGCTGCTTTAAATAATAGTTCTGTGTAAGAGGCATTCAGCAATTTGAATTGTTTCCAAATTGTCAGTGTTTGGTAAATAGTAAGGTGAGTAGTGTCTATCCAACCTATGTCACATTTGACACAGTTCAATAATTATGTATAAGCCTGGCCTGTCCCACTGCTGCACAGTGATAAGGCACAAGTGTGCTTTAATCAGCCATGGGAATGAGCTAGACCCGTGGTCGCCAAACTGCAGCTCAAGAGCCACATGCGGCTCTTTGGCCCCTTCAGTGTGGCTCTTCCACAAAATACCATGTGCGGGTGCTCACATACAGTGTGATTGAAACTTCATGGCCCATGCGCAGAAGTCGGTATTTTTGTGGAAGAGCCACACTAAAGGCGGCAAAGAGCTGCAT